TCTGAAGTTAAAAAGTGATAATATAACTATCTGTTTGCTGACAAGGTTTGAACTGTTGGTGAGCATGATGTTTTTTTCTTAACCTAAATGATATAACGTTTGATAGTCATCATGATTGCGTGTATGGGAACATGGGGTAGTTCACGCCTATGTATGAAAATATGTTCACAGACACCTATTAAGATAACCCGGTATCATATTAGGATAACCCTTGAAGAACTATTGACATAACTCGTGAGGTTCTATATAGAAAACACCGTGGTGCATTATTGAGATATCCCGTTCTGTACCCTTGTGATACACCATGTCATTCTGTTGAGATAGGGGCTGCGGTACCCATACCGTGAAATTGAGATAACCCGTGGTGTTGTATTTACATACAAGATGTAAGCAATACCGTACTATTTAGATAACCCATGATGTGCTATTGACATACAAGATATAACCCATATCGTAATATTGAGATAACCCGTGATGTGCTATTGACATACAAGATGTAACCCATACCGTACTATTTAGATAACCCGTGATGTGCTATTGACATACAAGATAACCCATACCGTAAAAATTAGATAACCCGTGATGTGCTATTGATATACAAGATGTAACCCATACCGTAATATTGAGATAACCCGTGATATGCTATTGCCATACAAGATGTAACCCATACCGTACTATTAAGATTACCCGTGATGTGCTTTTGACATACAATATGTAACCCATACCGTAATATTTAGATGACCCGTGATGTGCTATTGACATACAAGATGTAACCCATACCGTAAAAATTAGATAACCCGTGATGTGCTATTGATATACAAGATGTAACCAATACCGTACTATTTTGATAACCCGTGATGTGCTATTGACATACAAGATGTAACCCATGCCGTAATATTGAGATAACCCGTGATATGCTATTGCCATACAAGATGTAACCCATACCGTACTATTAAGATTACCCGTGATGTGCTTTTGACATACAAGATGTAACCCATACCGTAATATTTAGATGACCCATGATGTGCTATTGACATACAAGATGTAACCCATACCGTAAAAATTAGATAACCCGTGGTGTTGTATTGACATACAAGATGTAACCCATACCGTAAAAAATAGATAACCCGTGGTGTTGTATTGACATACAAGATGCAACCCATACCGTAATATTTAGATAACCCGTGATGCGCTATTGACATACAAGATGTAATTTAACCCATACCGTAATATTTAGATGACCCGTGATGTGCTATTGACAAACAATATGTGACCCATACCGTAATATTAAGATAACCTGTGATGTTGTATTGACATACAAGATGGAACCCATATCGTAATATTGAGATAACCCGTGGTGTTGTATTGATATACAAGATGTAACCCATACCGTAATATTGAGATAACCCGTGATTTTGTATTGACATATAAAAGATGTAACTCATACCGTAACATTGAGATAACCCATTGGTGTTGTATTGATATACAAGATGGAACCCATACCGTAATATTGAGATAACCTGTGATGTTCGATCACGTTCTCACAGCATTTACGTTCCTGACAAGGTACAGTACGTGTTATCGGGCTGTTAAGGCGCGTTTGACGCACCGCGAGTGATTATGCAACAAAAGAGTCCATTGTCTAAATATACGGATTCATAACTCCCAATTTACAAACGGCTTGTCATCTGAGGGTTATCGGGCTGTTAAGGCGCGTTTGACGCACCGCGAGTGATTATGCAACAAAAGAGTCCATTGTCTAAATATACGGATTCATAACTCCCAATTTACAAACGGCTTGTCATCTGAGGCTTATAGTCTTGTTTACATGTAATATTTATCTCAAATATTTGTAATATTTTCTTTGGCTGTATTTTTTGTTCAATTTATATGGCGAAACTGTAGGTTTCTTCTGCAGTCCGTCTTTGTTTATGCTTCTGCCGACTAGCATTACATGATTACATACATAACTCTACCAGACACTTCCAATAACAACCTTCTCCAACAATGATTATAAGGACTTTAAACTTAATAACCATGTGGATGGATTGCATATTGTATTTCTGAAAACTCAGAAACACGGAGTCAGATTAAATTACAGTACATCATAGCTTTTATTGTAATTACATCGAAAATTTACAGTTTCCTCTAGAACGTAAAAATAAACAGTGCACGATTAGAAAGCTCAATTTAATTTTAGATTTGCTTGCAAAATGAATATCGCACGCTATTGATTTCCGTTTGATAATTTTAGCGTTTTAATCTATAGCCTAGCAATTACACAAGCAATACATCTCAAATGACAGTCGTGCTCTGAAGGGTTCACAATGCCGTATTCCTATAATGGATGACTTGTTAATGTTGTAAGGTTACTACCGTTATTTTCGTTGTCGAGATTGAAGTTACAAACACAGCTCAGAGTCACAAATTTAGCAGTTACCAAGAAGCACGTGATTTTAAAGATAGTTCTTTGACTGTATGCCAAGGTACAGCGTATACTGCAGTCAATAAGCTTTAAATATTCTTAGCTGCTAACATGATATTTATAAAAGTAATATGACACGTGATTTCCGTTGCATCAATGTTTATAAAATAAGTTTAATCTAATTTTGATCATTTTTCTATTCGAAATGTCTTTATTTGAATTTATAAATCAATGCATCTTTTTGTGTGGTTATTTCAAATCAAAGAACTTGTATTTTATAAAAAAAAACAACACCATAATTATGACAAATATTTTAAATTAGCATTTTACATCTTAACCGTTTCATATAAGATAGGTAAATGGTATCATGGTATTATATAGAGATTTATGAATGAAGAAGAGCCAAACTTTTTGTTTTGTTATTAAGAGATGGCATGATGTTTAACACTACAATGTATATACTAAGGGTAGACAACACGGAACTGAAAAAAAGTTACAGAGATGACTTAAAAATATACAGAAAAATGTTTATCATTTCCTGACAAGAAACGGAGGCGACAACTGTCGCAGAAGGATGATCATTTCATGCATTGCATTGGGCATCCATAGCGATCAATTCGTGATGAAGGTCGCAAATAACGTTAAACGAAGCTTGAAGTATTTGAGGTAGCAAATACACAGCAGTTTATTGTGAGCCAGTAGGTGTTTATCTAGATGATACATCTACCCTGGGACCTGTCTGTCTTTAATTTGCTGTGGCGGTTACAATTATTGTCATACCGTTCTCTGAAATGCTCATTTTCTCGGATAGTATGGGATATCTTGAAAACCGAGGAAGTTACACTGTTCAACGTAGGTTACAATGCTTACTTAGTGTCTCTATGATGTGTACTAGACATACAGGATACGATCGTAGCTTAGAAGGCTCTGCAATGATCTCGTACTGCTAAACATATCCCATTAATCAATACGAAATCATAATACTTCATCAAATTTTACAACTGTTACACGTTATTGCTTACTCGGCCGAATGAAATTAAAGCATATATATCAATCGTTGCTAACCTACAACGCCACAAGTAATTATATTACTTTAAAATAGTTAACAGGGTCACTCCATATTCTGATAATTCTCAACACAGCATAAAAAGCCTAACGTTATAAATAGCTCACAGTGCCATACAAAATTCTAATACCATTGAATAAATTCTACGACGACACACAAGGAGGAACCATCGCCCTCACCGCTCTACTTTTAAATTTAATAACCTGATTCATCAATCTTACATCACCAGCGCATTCTTTTATCTAAATATTTAATATATACGCCCGGTTTTTTTCTTGCTAATTCCCTTTCATTTCATAAGAAGGCAAAAACAATAAAACATTTATACTACACATCCTGAAAGCCAATCGGAAATCCATATTGATTTTCAGTTGATTGCTGTCAGGTTATCCATATTTTGTGCTTTGAACTATAAACGTACGTGTGATGATGTACCTCAGTCACACCATCCCATGCTAAACCCTCATCAGCAAGAGAACACAAGTTTGAGATTTCATTTACTCACAAAGTGTCTGTATTACGCTGGGATGTTTGTGGTATGTATAGCTTCCAATTGCAATTATATATCTTAACCTTTGAAATCAATGCCACAAGGGTCATAGAATTATTCTGTATCATATTCATATGTAATTTTGAACTCGTCAGAAATTCGCTCACAAATACGTTATTCATATTGTCTTGTTACCAGGGTTATTTATTAGACTGTCCTTTTTTATTATCAGAACAGAAAAATAATACTTTTTTCTAGTCTGACTTAAGCACTAGAGATTTGAGTAATACATTCAATGGTGTCACACAATTAAATTCAATACTGTTTGGATTAAATTGGGCTCAGTATGTACACAATCCTACTGCTTTTGAAACACGTTTGGTTACTTTATTGAACTTGTGTGAAAATCATACTAACCAGCATATTCTATTTCATTGTATTAATATACAGCTTGACGATGTTAATCGATACCAACCTATAATAACCATTCATAAAAAACCGTAACGTACATCACATGCCGTATACATAACCGTAGTAAAACAAGGTAAAACACGACATTTACAGAGTTGCACATTTGCAGTATTGACTATTGTAAAGGGGTTTCCATGTGAATGTCACTTTCTTATTGGCTGTATTTCTATATATATATGTTTGGATCACTTTCGTCTTGAATTTGTATTCTGTTGACCGTTTAGTACCAATGGGTCCTAGTCGACGAAAACACTATACTGTTCAATAAAAGGTTAGTTTTGATTGCTGCATCAACATAAGAAACTTTTGAATCGCTGTTTCCTGACGGTGTATTGTTAGGACGTTTTCTACAATTTGAATCAATCTAATCGCCAAGTACGGTAGGGCCGTTTGATATGATCTTTATCTCTCAATACAACACATTAACACACGGCATTTACCTATATTTAGGAAATGTGCTCTTTCAAAAAGGGTACAAAACAAACACACACGGACGTTGTTACGGAAAGTTCCACATGTGCGGAGCCCGGATCGTTCTGATCAGTACGAGGAGACGCCTCCTGCTATGTATAGCGTTGTGTGAGCGCTGGTTCTGTGTGAGGGTTGACATATAACTCACGACAGTGGCAGACGCTCTGGCAGTAGTTATACGGACTCTGGTAGGGAGATTCTGCATGTCAGCGAAGGAGTTTAACTCTATATCGTCTGTTGGTACTAGAACTCACGGTTTAACAGAAATCCCTGATGTATTGCTGGTAGAGGCTGGACACGCCGCGAGTGGACGTTTCCATAGAAGATACATATACCTGTATGCTATTTCTTTTACGCTGGTAAACGTATCTGTAGTAATTTCACTGGACTGGAAGTGTGTCGGAACGTACTGATAGTAAAAACCTCTAGGCTGATCACGCGCTGTTACGCTAGCCTTGTCACCGGACGTATGTATAGTAAATCCCTATATGATGCGCATCAGGTGTTATGGTAAATTTCTAGAGGATGTACATACGAGTAAACATTATCTATACAAGTGAACGTGTCTATAGTAAACATATCTAGACTGGATAAGCCAGTGTTCCGGATACACGGAGGAAATCGGGATAATTATTTATATTTGATCTGTTGCCGAAGGACGACGCATGAGGTGGGTACAGTTTGAAATGTGTACTTGTGATAATTAACATAGGTACTATTGATAGTATAATGGCCTAAGTAAAATATGTGTTCAATAAATTGTTTTATGTGTGTGTGTGGTTCAGTATTCAATTAAAACCCGTACAGCTCGCTTATGTGTAGTAAATTATCGATGTGTACGGGAGGACATTATATAATATAATTGTAATTGTTCTACAGTTTCCAGGTAAAATGGCGTCAGGTACGGGTGTGTGATTCAGTATACGTGTACATGGGTACAATATGCAATGTATGTATAACAGTATCAAGATAAAATGGTACACATCTGATATAGGTATGACAGGGCGATCATGTCAGGGTGATATTCGCCTCAAAGAATCCATGCAAAAAGGTCCTAGAGTTAGTGTGTTGTACAGTTTACAAGTAATATAGTTCATAAATAATATGAAATTTTCTCTACAGTATCAAGGACGAATGGTACATTGGTAAAGTGTCTGATACAGCATACCTGTAAATGGGTACATGGTTGATATACTGTTCTACGCTACATTGCCCGATAACAGGGTATTGGGATGAGTAGTGTGATACAGTATTCATTTAAAATTGTAAATGGGTGATACTTTAGGCAAAGTTTGCATGTAAAGTGTATTTGGGAACATGGTTTGTACAGCGAAACATTGAGTATACGAATTTACACCGGGACATATTCGCTGCAGTTTAACCCCCTTAATAAAGGCGATGTCTCACGAAGGTCAAAATAAGCACACACTATATCATACAAACATATGCAGTAACACTATCTAAAAGGCAGAATATAATGGTGAAGGGCTGAACTTTGACGGGCCAGCATGCTCCATGTTTACAGTGTCCATGTGTGAAGGAATGTTCCCAGTGTTTACGGTTTGCCTTTGTCTGTGGCTTCTCACACAAGCAAAAGTAGACGAATATATGGTGTTGGTATATTTACCTGTGCAGATGTAGATCAGGACGACAAAGCACGTTATTCATGACAGAGTGTATTGACATCTACAGATATATATAACAAATACCATTTAGTTTTATAATGATTAATATTATTATGTATAGTCAGTGATTTGATGTTCGAGTTAAGAACGCCTTTGAAATAGGATTTTCTCAATTGTGAATATTTGGTTTCCTCAAATGAAAATGTCTACTTGTATTGTGTAACGTTATGGTTCGTAACTTCTTTTCCCGCAGGTAAAAAAGGTCCATTAACTAAACTGTGTAACCGTTACTACGTCTGATGTATTTGTTTGCGAGTAGTAAATATATCGCTGCAGCTGACCGATTTCATGTCGTTAGATGTGGCTGTCCTAAGCGTAATTTTCGCTGTGTAAGTAAGAGAATGAGAAGGATAACCTCAAATTGCAGTACTTGACTTACACGTATTTCGAAAAAAATAATAATATAGATTTTTAAAAAGGATACACAAAACACGATCACTGAAAATGTGTATTGAAGTGATGTTCACACTGACAGAAGAATATAAGGTTCTTTCATGGGATGTAAGATAGAAATTTCCTAAACTCCTTTCGTACCCTGGTCAGCTCTATCTTACACACAGAAATGAGAGAAAACATATGCGTTGAATATTAGGACGTTAAACAAGTATTTGGTGGAGGGGCACAAGGAAACAAAATCAGAGGCCGCCTAGGACCAAACACTGATGAAATAGTTCAGCAAGAGGAAATTATTCAAGGTACAACAGAAAATGTTGAATTTCCAAATACACCAGAAACAATGACATCTAAGAAGAGAAGCAGCTTTTCCCTACAGGAGTATAGGATCACACCTGTCAGTACCGAGAGTGTGAGGTCACATCTGGGAGCGTCGGGCACAGCCTAGCGGAGGTATGTAAATGAGCAACGCTTGTCTGAGTGAATGAAAGTTTGTCTGTGAATGGTATTCTGTGTCTGATTGCATAGAGAAAATGACATATATTTTGTCAGACTTGACTTTGTGACTGGCAATTATGTCGAGAATAAAATGAAACAAAATGGTAAATGTCATCTATTTGTTATTGAAATAGTTTTATTAAAAGCCGTACAGGTAATGCCTGATAATAAACCGAAACATGTCATTTGTTTTCAGGCTAAGACCCATCCTGGAGAAGTCGTATATAATGACAGCGTGGGCAACTGTCAAGTGAAGACGTAACGAGAGTGTTAAAGTAGAAAAGCAGCTGCAAAGAGATAAGAGAAGAACCATTTTACTTCTTAATGACCGAAAATAAAATTAAAAAAAAACCCAGTTGCATGGTATGGAGAATTTCGAAGTTGTGTGAACGGTCATTTATTCCTGAAATGACAAACAAAAACAGAACATGCAATCATGAAATCGTTGGTATTGGGTTACGATTTACATAGTTGACCAGAATTTTAGGCATAGAAAATGCCAAAGGAACACAAGAGCAAACGGCAAGGGGATCTGAGGAAGCACATGAGTGTATCCATATCTATACCAAGCTAACCAGAGGACACCACCAAATCTATACCAATGCTACTACATAACGCCGCCATCATCATAACGGAAAGTGTTTACAGGATGCTACAGTATTGGTTTTTCTACAAAACTAGAGTAGGCGAATAAAGCCATCATGTGTTAAAACATACATAAATCGGCTGATAACTTGATAGCTGTCTCAACAGATAATCTAATATATTAACATTTAATCAGAAATTTTACCTTTAACTTCACGTTTAACTATGTGATAATTTTGATGTCCCCTACTCTCCAGCAAACACGACGCCCTGCTTGAATTGGTTTTGGTCATACAAGTAAAACAAGGAAAATAAAGACAAAATGTCAAGAGTCAGAAACCACTTATCTTCTGACAACTAGAGACGTCCGTTTATTGCCTGCGACAGTGATTAAATGGGAAATAAATGGTTTGAACTGTCATGATGTGTGTTTTGTTTTGTTTACAATCACTTAAAGCCCAATCACTGATTACGCTTTCAATGTTCTTAGTCAATTCACAGCACTACTGACTTAATAGCGCTTTACGTAGGAGAAGGAAGTATTTCATAAACAATCGTAATGCATAAAAAAAACAATTTTATTAGAATAACGCTTTATTTCGCTTAACAAAATGTGTTTGCTTAATGTTCCTCGCTAGTTTGACAGAAAGTTGTATTTTCCGCGTTTACTTTACGTTTGCATTTTTTTTTGTATTAGACGGGGTTAAATAGATCCAGTCATCAGTTGTTTAAGGCATCGTGTTTTTTTTCGTTTCAATTTTTTTTATTGACAGATGTTATAGTCAAATGGATTGAATAACAGGCAAGCCTATATAAATTCTTTCCATGAGTGGCTCAAAATTTGATTATATATACAATGTAGTTACAACAATAATGATTAATTAATTTAAGGATACTTTGAAATAAAAATTATAAAGAGTAATACTAATTAAAGGATAATGGGAGATAACTCCAACATGTCAAACACAGAGAGGATAAACTCGTCATAGGACATCACAATAACAATACACAAACAACTCACAATCATACATCGAACACACATACAATAAAGGCATCGTGTATTATTTACTTATGTTTGTTTTCATAGATTTCCGTTCGACCACTCTCTTTCAACTCACTGGTGAAAGAAATAGTTATGTTAAGGTTAGCATTTGTAAACCAGTCATATTGTTGTTTGCAAAATGTGTCGTTTGAAACCCCAACTTCGTTCTACAGGCAGTACGTCGTCAGCTAGATGATGTGCTATACTCCTGAAATATTACAAAAGCATGGATTGTAACACGAAAAAAGACTATACATTAATGAATATCAAAGGGATACAGCTAAAGGCGAATTGCCTAGGGATTGTTTTGAGAGTCAAGATATTATGAACGTTCTTGAACAAAATCGTGTTCAGCTTTTATAAGTTATAAATTACATTCCATGCAGATAAGACAAACAAAGCCGTGACTTTATCTATAAGATAATGAAGTGATGGGCGGTGGTCTACCGGAACAAGACGTATTTTTGCTGACAATATACCCAATTGCACGGATGAAGAATAAACCGTGTACAGGACATTTAGAATTTATAAATGAAATGTCAATAAAGCTGTTTCATTCATAACGATTTCTCTTGTTGTTTATGAAATCGAAAATAATAATAAGTAATAATGAGATGGTCACTAAATATAAAACTGAATTTAACATAATTGCTTTCCTTATCAACTAGTCAGTCTTGTAATGCCTCAATATCACAGATTTGTATCCCTTTGGAGTATGATCTTTGTTTTAGGATTTATAATATATATGACTCATTGACTAATCGCATCTTACTGAACTACTATTTTTGTATCCATTAGGCTTTAATACAATTGCATACTTCATACTGTGATTTAAGTATGTTCAATGTGATGTAGTTTGTTACTATTATACTTGCTTGAATTCAAGGGGAGAATAATGACCATTGTCAAATGCAGTAATAAACGGTTACTTACAGTGTACCCCATCACGACCACGATATTTGAACGGTATGTGTGAAGAGAAGCGTTTTTTCTATGACATAACAATTTGATATCTAAGGCATAAAGTCTGTGCGATTCCATATATATGTGGATAGTATACAAGTTGCTGTGATATTTGAGTTGAAAGGCTGCGCGATTCTCGCAACACGAAACTTTGGTTATTGTTCATCGTTGTCTGTGACAGCAAATGCAAGTGGTTAATTTACTGTTGAGTTCTAACATTTTGTTATAATAATCAACTAAGGGATATATTGTAGATTTTTTTTCATAATTAATATGATGATTAAAGAATGTTCAATATGACGTAATCTGTTGCTGATATACTTTTTCAGGATTTTAGGGTAGACTCATGACCAGTGTCACATGTGATTCAGAAAATGCCAAGTTGTATTTACCATTCTGTTGGGAGTTGATGTCTTTCTTCTTGTTTCATGTCTTCTCGGTACAAGACGCTGCCTTGGTTCATACTCCAGGCCTTGATTTACGATTTTGTCAGTGTATGTTTCT